TGTTCATTTAAACATATAAATTTGCCTTTCGCATATACATACATTTTTATCCACTGCTTCATATAAACGAGCAAAAAAGAATCTTTGTTGCCCCTTATCGAAAAACTTGGGTCCGGTTTAGTTATTTGTGCAACGATTTTCGGTTGTTGTGTCCAAACGCATATCCCGAATCCAAAAACTTTAACATACACGTGTAATCAAAGGATTCACATTTTTTTAAGATAAATGTTTCAAATTTTCTACCACTAGCTAATTAATAAACTCGGTTTGCACTATGCACATTTTTGCGAATTTTGACGTAAGGTCTTCGCAAAAATACTGTGGACGGCGTAGCCGGAGTGATATGCACAAGAAATGTTGTATACCTTTGACATTCGGAAGCCCCTCTTCCCCGCAACACAGAAAGGAGAATTCTACTTAGTAAGGGTTATAATCCCTAAGCGCGGCCGAAGGCAGGAGCAAGCGCAACAGGTGGTGGACCTAACAAAGTCATGTTTTCAATGGTTTGGAAGAAGCTGTTATTGCATTAACTGGATTGAGAACCAGAGCTTCAGGCATAGGAAGAGTTCTGGCTTGTGGTTCAACAATTCAACCAGAAGCTGACATAGATGAGCCCATGGTTACTATGCCCGATAGCTCCGCATACCTTTGTGAGTCCATTGCCATAGCGCGCTCTTACTCCGCTGCTATAACTGCAAATGCATCAGAATCCATAATTTTCCTCAAAATATTGAAAATCAATAAATTTTACTATAAACAAGCACATGATGAGTGCTTTTTTAATTCCTTTCCACTTTGTTCTCCTTCATTCGGCTATCTTCGAAAAACAACTGATAGCTGGCAATGATGCACATGTTTCCGCAAGGGTTGCAGCATGTGAATTTTTCGTTTATCGTAGCGTAGCTAAGGTAGCGAAGGTTATATGAGAATCCCAACGGAAATTTCTTAAAGCAAAAAGTAGGAATTGTTTTTGAATTGATTCTATCTTATCTGAGTAAATTTTGTACCTTGGATTCCAAACCACCGAACCGTATTCCAGAATTGGCTTAACTAATGTTGTAAACAGGGTTTTAGTGATATAAGGGTGACAAAATTCTTTTGACCATCGTTTCACAAATGCAAGTACACCTTTAGCCTTGTTGACTGTCACATTAATATGAAGATTGAAATTAAGCTTAGGATCCATTGTGATACCAAGGTTCACAAAATTGTATACCTGTTCCAGGTTATGGTTACCTATTGTATAAGAAGCGGGATGAACAGCTCTTCGCGTGAAGCTCTTTACTTTACATTTGTTAAGATTTACTTGACACCAGTAAGCTATGCTGTCTAAGTCTAATTGTAGCAGTGACCTTTCTTTAATTGAAAAGTACGATTTATAAAGCTTTACATCATCTGCATACATTAAAATTTTGGAAAATTGTATATCTGTAGAAATATCGTTTATAAAAAGCAAGAACAGAACCGGGCCTAGGTGCCTACCTTGAGGGACTCCTGAAGTAACATCAATGACGTCAGAGATAGTATTTTTAAACATTACCCTTTCATAGAGGTCATAGAGGTATGAAGAGATCCAACGTAGAAAATTAGGTGGAAGACCAAGAAGATCAAGTTTGTAGATGAGCAACGAGTAGCACACTTTGTCAAATGCTTTACTGAAGTCAGTATATATAACATCAACAGTTTTGCTTTTACTAAATGCTTTTGAGATATAGGATGTTAATTCGAGTAAATTTGTAGAAGTTGATTTGCCCTTGCAAAATCCATGTTGACTATATGAAATGCTAGAAGAGATAGAATGCGTCAACTGATTTGTTATAATTGCTTCAAATAATTTAGGAATTAGCTTAGCTATTCCCCGGTAGTTCTCCACTGAAGATCTGCTACCGCTTTTATGTAACGGGGTTATGAACAATTCCTTCCATATAGTTGGAAAAACGCCCTCTTTAAGAGATAAATTAAATAACGCTGTTAACGGCTCATAGAGATAATCAGAACAATTTATAAGAATACAAGTAGGGATCTGGTCAGAACCATAACTGAAGGACTGCTTTAAGGATTTCAGATAAACTACTACATCATAGGGAGATATTACTGGAATATTTATTGAGTTCATTGGACATAGTTTAAAAGGATAGTCAATGTTAGCATGTGAGTTAATGGAATAACTGGATTTAAGAAACTGAGCGAACATGTTAGAAATTGTTTGATTATCACTAGAGGTATTTTGATACTTCATGGCGGAAGGAAACCCACGTACATTTCGCTTGGAGTTTACGAAGTCATAAAATGATTTGGGGTTATATATTATACGCCGTTTAATTTTACACAGTAAGCTTTATAACACTTTTTGTTTAATTCAAAAAAATTATGACGCAAAAGTGAGTATTTTACATAGTATGAGTGTAAATCGGTTTTTTTGTGTAATCTAAAATAACGCGACTTTCTGTTTTTCAAATTTCTCAGTTCTTTAGTGAACCATAACTGTGTTTGCTCTTCGGGAACATACATGCGTTTAGGCACATGCTTTTCAAATAATTTATGTAAAGGTTAGGTTAGGTTGATGTGGCAGTCGGTTCAATTTACCAACTCACTTAGACCTTTTGAAGGTCCATTGTGGTACCACTGCAGAACACGGGAACCTCGGTGACTATTCTTCAGAGAACCAATTTGAGGCTCTTATAAAGCGTAGAATCGGTTTTATTCCTACGCGTGATAGTTCCGTAAGAGAGCTAAAGAAGGGCCTGCCTAAAAAGCTTGCTCTCCTCTTGGCCAAAGCTGGGCAGCTGCAGAGGAAGTGCTCTACGGTTTCTTCCTCTTCCTCATCTCTGCAACTTCTGCAATATTCGTGGGAGAAAATTCCTAGTCTTGAAGAGTGCCTGCCAAATAGCCAGTGACCGGTTACACAAGCCGTGACCTTCGCAATGTCCTCTCTTGAGAGGCACAGCAACTCTTTCGTCTTTTTCTTTTCTATTTGCGGCCAAAGCAGCCTGGTTGTTCTACATGTGCCCTCCTCTAGCCATGACCTGTTGGCCTCTTGGATCATGCTATTTCGAAGTTCTAATTTGCAGGTTGCCATGGGTATCCCAATAGTGCCCCTGTTTTCACATAGGGGTAGATTCGTACCTTTCCTGGCTAGCTCATCAGCCCTGCAGTTTCCTTCAATATCTCTGTGTCCCGGAACCCATATGAGGCTGACCTTGAACACGGTGCTAATATCGTTTAGAGCTGCGAGGCATTCCTGCGCAACCTTCGACCTCAGCATTACCATGTTCATTGATTTAATGGCCGCCTGGCTGTCCGAGAAAATATTAATCGTAGTCTTCGTTACGGCATGTGTACTAAGGTACACAGCCACCTCTTTTATGGCTAAAACTTCTGCCTGATAGACACTGCAGTGGTCCGGAATTCGGACGGATAGTTCCAGTCCTAGTTCCTTAGAGAAAACTCCGTAGCCAACCCTATTGTCTAGCTTGGATCCATCTGTGTAAAAATTCAATTCCCCCCGTCTCCATGGTCTTGGCGTTTGCCATTCTCCTCTAGACGGGATGCTCGTCTTAAAGAGCCTATTGAAGATTGGTTTGGGAGCGGAGTAGTCGACTTCTTGGTTGTAACTACCCAGAGTGTGAAGTATGGAAGCGTGACCAAACCGCCGATCCTTCCATAGCACCATACTTCTTAGTTTGAGCGCTGACTCGGCGGCCGCGTATTTTCCCACCAGGTTTATTGCGGGTAAATTGGTAATCACCTCCAGCGCCTTATTTGGGGTGGTCCTTAAGGCACCCGAAATGCATAGAAACGCTGTTCTTTGGACCTTACTCAATAGTTTTAGGTAACTTGCCTTTTGAGTTGCTGGCCACCATACAAGTATTCCATATAAGAGTATTGGCCTGACCACCGAGGTGTATAGCCAGTGTGTAATACGAGGTGTTAGCCCCCACTTGATTCCGACCGCTTTTTTGCATGTGTATAATGCAACGTTGGCCTTCCTTACTCTTTCCTCTATATTAGGTTTCCACGTTAGTTTCCTGTCTAATATGAGTCCTAGATACTTAACATTCTCCTTCAAGGATATCTCCACACCCATAAAGATTAGCGGGGAGACCATGGGAGGCCTGTGTTTCCTTGTGAAGAGAATTGCTTCGGTTTTCTCGGGGTTTACTCCGAGTCCCCTACTCTCTGTCCAGTTCCTAAGCGTGGCCATGTTAGAGCGCAGAATCTCCATTAGGGTATTTGGGTATTTGCCTTTGACGGCAATTGCCAGATCGTCAGCATATGCTGTGACATGGCAACCCCCCCTCTCTAGTGCCACCAGCAGAGAGTTCACCGCCAGATTCCAGAGAAGAGGGGAGAGAACCCCTCCCTGGGGAGTGCCTCTACAGACCTTTCTGCTTATTGTGGTGTTGCCGAGCTTAGCGGTTACCGTCCTGCTGACAAGTATAGACTCGATCAGCACCGCCACATTCTGGTCAACTCCAAGCTCTTCTAAGGCACCCGTTATGGCGCTTGCGTTAATATTGTTGAAGGCGCCTTCTATGTCTACAAAGGCAACCAGAGCGTACTCTTTGTCGAATAAACTTTTTTCCACCAACCCAACGAGCGAGTGCAAGGCGGTTTCCGTGGATTTGCCTTTCGTATAGGCATGCTGCGCTGGGGAGAGCCTACTTGTTGGTATCACGCCCCGTACATAATCATCCACTATCCTCTCTAAAATTTTGAGAAGGAAAGACGTAAGACTGATGGGTCTGAAGTCCTTAGGGTTGGTATGAGAGGACCTGCCCGCCTTGGGTATAAATGAGACTTTTGTCTCTCTCCAGCCTAGCGGGATGTAGCCCATGTTAAGACAGCTTCTTATAATAACCACAATGAACGGAGAGATAGTACCCCGTGATTGCTGTAGCTCTACCGGGTGTATTCCATCAAGTCCCGGTGACTTGTAAGGACCAAAAGTCTTAATAGCCCATTCAATTTTTTCGTTTGTAATCAGTCGGTTTCCCAGATCAGATAGCCCCCCCTTCATTCTGGGGGTAATTAGGTTCCACCGGCTTATTTCCAGGGAAGTGTGTGTCCAGGAGGAGACCTAAAGATTCCTCGCTCGTCGTAGTCCATGAGTTCCCTTGACCCTTGAGATAGCCAAGGTTGCATGGCGACTTTGCAAGAATTCTTCTTAATCTGGCCGCTTCCGTGGTTTCCTCAATTCCCTTGCAGTAACTTTGCCAGGATTTACGTTTCGCATTTCTAACTGCTTTTTTGTATACTTTCAGGTCAGCCTTGTAGGCTTCCCAGTCCTCTGCTGCTCTCGTGGCTTTGGCCTTGTTGAACATTGACCTATTAGATTCACGTAACAAGGATAATTGTTTCGACCACCAAGGTGGTTTGCTTTTTCCCCTGTATCGAACAACCGGGCACCCGGCTGACAAAGAACTATTCATGGCTTTAGTAACCTGATTAACCAACCCCTCCAGCTCCACCTGCGTGGCGGGGTCTCGGGGAGGTATCTTTGGCAGTAAAGTCCTTAATTTATTATTGTAAACCCCCCAGTCGGTATTTCTAACATTTCTGAACTCCCTTACTTGGGGGGTCTTAAGATCTATTTCGAATTCAATATAACGATGGTCAGAATACGATTTTTCCTTCAGTACTCTCCATCTCTTGATTTTATGGGCAAACATGTCTGAAGCCAGGGTTATGTCCAAAACTTCCTCTCTACTCTTTGTTATGAAGGTCGGCTCTGAGCCTAAATTCAAGACACTAAGTTTGTTCCCTAGAATGAAGTCTAGTAACGACTCACCTCTAGCATTCGTGTCCGTACTCCCCCACATCAAGTTGTGGGCATTAGCGTCGCAGGAGGCAACCAGTGGTTTGTTCTTGAAGGCTGCTTCCTCGGCCAAGGTCCGAAACCCGTCTGGTGGCACGTCCTTGTCATGGGCCATGTAGGCAGAGGCTACCCAAAAGCTGGTTTTGTCCAGCTCAATGCTTGCCACTACCAGATCGCCGTCACTAAGCTGTGGGAGCAGGAAGATGTTTAAGTTGTTCCTTGCTAATATGCAAGCTCGAGTCTTACCTGCATTTTGTGCGGCAATAAGCTTAAAGCCCTTCATCCCAAGTCCGCAGATTTTATTGCCGTGTATCCACGGTTCCTGGATGAGGGCAACGTCGAGTCCACCGGCAGCCAGGCGGACCTCAAGGTTCGCAGACGCGAGTTTAGAGTGGTGGAGGTTGATCTGGATCAGCTTCATCAGAATCTGTCCGTTTTACCTCCACCATCGTGACATCCACGTCCGCCTCTTCGATCTCCTCACCCTCGGTGTCATCGGCGAGGAGGTCTTCTTCATAAAATAATGGCCCCAATCCGGATAGCCTCTCCGAGTCAGATGAGCATTGGCTGCTGGGCAACCCTTCTTCACCACCGCTGCGCAGGCCGGACTTGTCGCTCTCCTCACTAAGGTCCAAGCTCGGCTCGTCGCTGCGGTAGATTCGAATGGTTGCGTCATTGAACCCGAATCTCACCGTCCAATCCTTTTGCGCCAGTGGGGCTAGCGATTCGGCGTTGAGGATCAGCAACACCTGTCTTCTATTCTCTACTGGCTCCTCTATCTTCCCTACCCTCCAATTATGACTTGGCAGGTCCTTATTACAGGATCTGAAGATCCGCTCAATTCTTTCAGGCTCGGCGGGTCTGGCCGGAATCCAAACTCGAGCCCTCGGTCTGCTAGGAATGTCTTCCTTGTTGACAGCCTCGAGCTTGGCTCCCGGCCAAACTTCACCTACCTTACTAACGGCCAACCTATAGAGCTGGGCTGACCTATGGTCCTCGCAGGCGATGAGTTTAGCTCTACCCTGATACCATCCGGAATCATGGCAGAGAGGAGGAGGTCCAGGATTTTCGTCTAGGACTTGGAGGTAGATTTCGGCAATCGCTTCCTCCACCAACCTCCACTTCTCTTTGGGGATAGTCCCTTCCTCCTCCCCTCTGTCGATGATTGCCAGTACCTCACCGCCTCCCTTCACTACGTCCTTGAAAGTGGGGTATTTATGGCCACCTGTTCTTGGTCTTTTGGTGACCCCACCCCCTGCCTGTTCAGCAGACCGCTGCCTTTTTGGAGCAGCGCCTGCCGGTCTTCCCAAGCTGGCTACTACTCCCCTCGCCCACTCCAGTGACCTAACCTGCTCCTCCGTGAGCTGCTCTGTCGGCAGGTCCCCGATCTTGTTCACGACCCTCATGGCCGCCTTTTTGTCATAATAGGCCTGCTTCGAGGGGCGGACATGTTTAGCCGACCCCCCCAGGCCTGTGTTTGCAACTTTCCTCGAGCTGCTCGGAATGTCGGCGGCATCCTGCCGGGTTATTTTCGAAGCAGGTGCCGTACCCCGCCCTTGGGTTGAGGTGTGTGTGGATTGGGGTCTGAATTCCCTAGGCGGAGCTGACGCTGCAGCTCCAGCCATGAATCGGTTGGAGACCGGTTTGCCCAGGCCTCCACTCCCCCCTCTGCCTCCTATGGTACTCGTACCAGGACCAGCCCTACCGCTTAAGCCCCCTCTAACTCCTGTCACTGGCGGTCCGATAAATGCCCTGCTCGAGGCTGTAGCATTAATTGGAGCCACCCCTGTCGGTTTTTTTGGAGGGCCGTCCTCCTTGTTGTGTTGTTTTTTTTTTGTAATAAATTTCGCTCATAATTTTGGTCCCACGAGTGTCGGACAATGGAGGTCCGCCCGCACAGAGGTCCGTGTGCGCAGGTAAGGCTTGATAGAACCGGAGGTCGCCAGGTATCCGGAGCACTCCGTTCGAGACTGGGCTATTTGTTAATCTGGGTCCCCAGCCAGGCTGAACATCAGCACGGGTCGTCTAACACCTTGTTCCAACCCAGAGCTTTTTTAGAGAGGTTTGCTCCTCCATTACCTCCATAGGCCACGATCAAAAACCATTTCCATATAACTTAGCTATTGAGGAGCTTAAGCACATAGCACTGATTTCTGATCTTAGCTGGACACCATTCTGACATCGTACAGAACCTAAATTGTAGTGGCCATTACCAGTCGGCACCCTCGTGGAGGGTTCAGCCGGAGGATTTTCGCCGACCTGGAGTTGGAGAATGATGGTGGATATCAACTTGAGAACTATTAATTTCTCCAAAGTTGGAGAAATAATTTTTTGGTGTCTATTGGTTCGATTCTCTTAGTAGCCAGACGTTGATCATTTCTGCTGGAAATCCCTATTGAAGGAGCTTACTCTTTGACTTTAAATAGCAAAGAAGGGACAGTTTTACCACAGAAGTTTTTAGCCAAGGATTCAATGTAATGTATGTATATCCCTATGAACAGTGCACACTTTCTTCTTTTGTGTCTAGTAGTTTTTTTTTAAGATTTATCCAAAAAAATCATATTAAAAAAAAGAAACCAATGCAGGTATTTAAAGCACAGAAAAAAAGACTATGTTCCCATTCAGGAGTAAAATCCACTCTCTACGTACGAAAACCACGCTCTATAAGTCACTCATCATGCCCGTTCTGGTATATGGCGCAGAAGCCTGGACAATCACAACATCCGATGAGGCGGCTCTTGGAGTGTTCGGGGGAAAGATTTTACGGAAGATTTACGGGCCTTTACACGTTGGCGACGGCGAGTACAACAGACGATGAAACGATGAGCGGTATGAGCTTTACAACGACGTAAAGCAAAGTTAAAAAGTGCAACGCTTTGTTCAATATTTTTTTAAATGCATGCCACGACAATTTAGACAGTTCTTTGCTAAGCATTTTAAAGTTGGCTTTCGAAATATCAAAGCGAATATTTGGTTCGTATGCTTGGGTACTGCAATTTTGACCATCACTTATAACTTCGTAAGATACCTCCATAGCAGGGTGGTAGACATCTTCGGGCAAAACTAGTGGTTCGCACTTACTTACAACGGACTTAGATGCATCATCAACATAAACAAGATCTAATACTTTACTAAACTTATTGTGAAGTACATTAAACCTGAGTTAGGCAGAGTTCAGCCATCGCCTCTAAAAATACGTTGTTGCACGCACTAGACGCGAAAGGTACGATATCATTGTCAATGATGTTCCATGATATGCTTGGTAAATTAAAATCCCCCAACAAAATCATTGAATCAGAGGGTTTAGTTAGTAAATTAACTGATTTCAGTAAAGAGATGAGTCGTGAATACACCAATGTGACAGATCGGGGAGGGATATGGCATAGAGCTAAGTAAATAGACTCTTTTCCAGCCTGTACACGAATGCATTTGAACTCTACTGAATCATAGTGTGGAATACTAACTTCTTCAGATGGTATTGAAGAGTCTACAGTCTGGAGTGCCGGCGGAGGGGGTTGAGTTACTGCATCAGTAGTTGAAGATAGGGAAGGCGGTGGAGGCTTTGAAGATGATGCCACCACTTCAATGGGGGAAGGGGAAGATACTTCAGGCTCTTTATTATCCGAAGCAGATTTCGTTATACGGTCTTTTGAGGCTGAGGATTCTGATGCTGGAGGACACGGAGAAGATAAATTAAGTCCGTTGGAAGATTATTCTGACGTGCAACGGCAATAATTTCCTTAGATGGACTATGAAGACGCTTACGTCAAGGTATCTAAGCATTTGAATGATTTAAACATATTTCCATAATGCTTAAATTTTTCTGTCAGTACCGACAATTCTCTTCCTATTTCTGTAAAACCATTTCTGGTTTGCCTAAATAGCTTCAAAAGATCAACTTCGGTTGACCTGCACTTTACGCAAGACCAGCGAAGGCCCTTGCCATCATTAATAGCGTCCAGAATTCTTCCCGTCAAACCAGCACATTTCAGATGGTAAATACCATCACTCAGCCAGCACGATAAATAGCGTTCAGAATCGCTTTTATTTTGGCAAGTATCAAGATCGCTCTTCATATTGAAAGATTTATGTAATACACTCGTTAATAAAAGACAAACAAAATAAATTATAACAATTAAGGAGCTGATGTAAATAGCTTTAAATAAATGTAGCGAACAGTTTGAGTATCACTGTAATTATGACTCTTAATAAACGCAACGCAAACAGCTGTGACAAGAATTACTAGAAGAAGTAAACAAAAAGAGTAGAACAAATGTGCAAAAACAAATTGAATTCAGTTAACTACAAATGATACAACAACAATGATAGCAACAAATGACTCGGCAAAATTTGAATGTATGCTAGTGAAATTTAATTAAATTTACTTTAATTCAAAACCAATAACTTTCACTTAGCTTCAATTATTTCACTCTATGATGCTCATAAGCACTTTTTATCACTACTTTAACTCAGAATTAGCACAATGAACTTAGTAAGTAGAAAGCCAAAATCAGAGCACAATAAAGTACAACCACACAGCTTGACGTTTGCTTTGTATTTATTCAGTAAAAAATAGCAACTTCTCCTCAAAATTAAATGCCACTTTGCGCTCTCAATTTCCCCTTCCTTACAAGTTTTTTGGGTTCAAGAACTCCAAAACGTGATAGTTGGTACAAACTGGTACAAACTACTGCGTACAAGAACGCTACTAAATATTCGCGCCAAATATTTTCAATAGTCAAATACATCGATCAGCTGTTTACTTGCTAGTTTCTGCTAGTTTTGCGTTTCTTTACGGCGCGTTTACATTGGACAATGCTGTCAAGACATTGAAGATATACGTATTATGGGCTGTTTTGCTTACGCGTAAGAGCACATTTAGCGCATTTTGCTCTAAATGTACATGTATCTATACAAAATTCGTCACCTAAGTGCAACTAAATGCAACTCCGTTTTTGCATTAAGGATCTGTGCTGGTTGCTAGAGACTTCGAATTAAACTCTATAAATATTTACGCCAAGGATGTACGATGAACTAAGCAGTAGTGCGAGATAGTTTATTTCTATAATAAAGGAATTACATTAACGATTGACAAATAACCAAAATTTAGATCTTACCGCGGTTCCGTCCCTGTCGACTTTTTGCAACGAGTGAATTCGTCAAATCGCTGAAGATGGAACCGTGGTTTACAATCTTGCCACATTCACAAATAAACATACAGAGTTACCGCATTTACAAATGAACAATTTTAAAGTTTTGAAATAAGAGCGTTGCATTTGCCAGGCGTTTCGCGTAAATCCCTCCTCCCCGTAAATCACTCTGATTCACTATTTTCTAA